GGTGTTCTGCACCTGCTGCTTTTAGGGGGGGCTCGCAGGAACCCTGGGAGCGAGGGAGGGAGGAGGGAAGGCACGAGAAAGCAGCTAGACGGGAGTCGGGAGTGGAGTGGCCGGGGGCAGGTGCCACCGTCCCACGGGGTGGGGACCCGGGCGCAGGCGCTGACCGCGGGCGGCCGGGCGAGTGGTGGGGTCCCCGTCTCGCCCACCCCGAGTGGAGAGTCCTGGAGATGAACTGGGTTATCTAGGAAGCCCCGGGCACATCCAGGGGCAAGCTCAGAACACGCCCCAAAACTTCTTCCCGGCCCGCTGTTACGATGGTGGAATCGTTGTGTTATTGTCATGCTTACGAAAATCTCAAGGTCCGAGGAACCCTCTAACTGCCTCGTTTTTATTTCCATTCTGATTTTATTATTTACTTTTATTTGTTCTTTTTACTCTTTATTTATTCTATTCTGATTTCTGTCATTTATTTCTATTTTACTTATACATCTGTTTATATAATTTGTAGGTTCTATGTATAAATTATGTAATTTATAATTTCTATAATTTGCTGTTATAAATCTGTGTAGTCAGTTTCTGTTCTAGTTTTATTTCTGGTCTATTTTCTATTTTATTTATACACGTTTGTTTCTATTCATTCATATTCATAATTCATTTCTATTTTACTTATACATATTTGTTTATATAATTTATAAGTTGTATGCATAAGTTATAAATTATATAATTTATCATTACATATAATTGTGCAATTTCTATAATGACATATAATTATGCAACTTCTATAATTTATTTTAAATATTAATGTCATTTCTATAACTTATTTCTACTTTATATAATTTATAGGTTCTACGTACAAATTATAAATTACACAATTTGTAATTTCTATCATTTATTATAAATGTATTTCTATTCTAATTTTGTTTCCATAATTTATTTCCACTTTAATTTTATATACTTATTTATGAAATTTATAAATTCTATGTATAAATTATAGACGACAGAATTTGTAAATTCTCTCTATAAATTGTAGATTACAGAATTTGTAAATTCTATCATTTACGTTTATATTTTATTTCTACTCTAACGGTATTTCTATAATTATTCCGTTTTACTTTGAGATGCTTCTCTATCTAACTGACGAGTTCTGTGTGTAAAGTATACCTTGTGTCATTTGTAATTTCTATCATTGATTGTTGAAAGTATGTCTCAGAGGGGCAGGCGCTTTCAAGGGTGACTCAGCAGTCCGTCCGGGTGGCGGGCGGTGGCCTCTCCCTGCCTGAGTCACTGCCCGTCCCGCACACCACGTGCAGCCGGGGGGGGGAAACCGCAGAGGCCACACGGGTTTCTGCTGACACTTGGGCTGCTCGCTAATTCCCGGGGAGGCCTGGTCACGCCTCGACGTTCACCGCGGGCACCCGGCTTCTCCGGCAGGCTCCCTGTCTGTGTGGCGGGGGGCCTTTTCTGCACATCCGTCGGCCCCAGTTTGGGGAGCAGTGGGTGCCCGGGTCGGGGAGCCCCCGCCTGTGCCCACAGAAACTGGGCTTCCAGGTGTCCACGGGACCCGAGCCTCTGGGGGTTAAATGGCTTGTTTATGACTCAGGGGTCCCTTGCTGCATGAAACCGAGAGCTGGCCACCTGCCCTGGCCCCAGATTTCTATGGGGCGGTGCTGGGGAGCCTCAGATGGTGAGGGTGGGGCTGCGTCTCCAGAAGGTGGGTCCCCCGTGGGGCAAGGAGGGTCCTGAGAGATGGGGTCCAGGGGGGGATGTCCCAGCTGAGTGCTGGGGGGGGGGGTCTTTTGTGTGGTTTCCTCGCCCCGCCGTGGTCTTGAGTGGGGCCAGCCCAGAGATCAGGCTGGAACACAAGCTCATGCTGCAGGAGAGAGGGCGTTCTCCTGGGACGGGGGCCAGGGTGGAAGCCGAGAAGGGACATGGTTTTTCTTTTCCCGTCCACTCTCAGACCTGCCCTGGACGCCCCCGCCTTGGCTGACCTTGGGGCTCTAGAGGGGAGCCATGCAGACAGAGGCAGCCCCAGGGTGGGGGTGGAGTCGGGAGGGCTCCGGGGGTGGTTGGAGGGTCTGCCCTGCATCCCCGTTGTGTCTGCTGTTGCTGGGTTGTGTCAGGGCCACGTGGGGGTCAGTGGAGGGCATTGAGGTGAGCTGTGACCTCGTCAAAGCGGGTGGGGCCGCTGGAAGGGCAGGTGGGGCTGGGAGCGGAGGCAGCATTTTGGTGAGAGTGGCTTCCGGGTCAGTGGCTGTGATGAATCCAGGAGGAAGGCGGGCCGAGGAGGAGGAGGCAAGGGGGAGGTTGGGAGGGACCGAGCTGGGCTGGGGAGGTGTCAGGCCCTGGACACGGTGTTAGCAAGCAGCCAGCCCGACATGTGCACACACATACGTACATACATGCTCACGTGCAATGCACGCACACATGCAACACGCATGCATTTATATACACACATGTAATGCACACACGCACACACACGGCCAAGGCAATGCACACATGCACATGCGCATATGCTCACGTGCAGGGCACACACATGATCAGTGCAATGCACACACAATACATACACACATGCTCAATGCAGTGCACCTGTGCACACACATACACACATGCTCACGTGTAATGCACATTCACACACATGGTTAAGGCAGTGCACACACATGCAATGCACACACACATGCTCATGTGCAGTGCACACACATGGTCGGTGCAATGCACGCACAACACGTACACACATGCAATGTCCCTATGGACACACATACACACGTGCAATGCACACACACACACGGCCAAGGCCATGCATGCACATGCAGTGCACACACATACATACATGCTCATGTGCAATGCACACACATAGTCAGTGCAATGCACATACAATACATACACACATGCAATGCACCTATGCACACACATACACACATGCTCATGTGTAATGCACACTCATGGTCGATGCAATGCACACATGCACATCACACACATGTCCACATGCAATATTCACATGCGTGCACATACATACATGAGTCCATATAAAGAGATCATCTGTTTTATTTTGTTTCCTCAGTGGTTCCGCCCGTGACCATCCTCTTTATGAGGATAAAATCATAGGAACTGGGAGGGTAACGTGTAAAAATCTGTATTTTACGTTCTGGTGTGTTGCGGTCGGTTTTTAGCATTCCGAAGAGCCCTCTCCGCTTCTTCTTTCTAAGTCCCCCTTTCCCCCCCAAATCTACGTGGTCCCCTCTTGGAACTGCCTTGTCTCGGGCCACTTGTCCTGACTTCCCGGGCGAGCCCGCGGGATGAGGAGTCACCCCAGGGGCGAGGGAAGGCGAACCTCTGGGAAAGCTCAGGGCACCGTCATTTTTGGGGGAAGCGCACAGAGGGAGTGGAGACCGCTGTGGGCTTCTGCGTGAACGTGCGTGACGGCACGTGTGTATCGTGAGCTGCGAAAGCACGTGCCCGTGGGGGTCTCCAGGACGAGTTGATCCCCGCCTGCTGCCTCGGGGACTCTGCCGCCTGTGGCAGGAAGAGCTGTCACTGTGTTTGCTCTTTTTTGGTCTGGCGTGTGTGCAGGTGCAGAAACGGCCGTTTCAGGCTCTGAGGTTGTGGGCACAGCCCCCTGTGGGTGCTGGTGTGGGGCCACCGCGGGCTCTGCCTGAGAGCTGCCGCTGCCCGCCCTGCCCCGACACAGGCACCGGAAAACACATACACACCCCACCCATTCACAGTCACGTCTGCACATACGTACACACAAACCACACATAACTCGTGTCTACACACGGGCACGCGCCACACCTGCACATATGTACACAGATCACACGGATACGTATTGGCACGTGTTTATACATATAAACCACACTATACATGTGCACACGTATGCCACAGCTACACGTGTGCAAACACCAGCCACACCCACCGCCACATATGCACACATACAAGCCGCATGCCTGTAAAGATGCACACATACAAACCACACGCGTGCACACACAAACCACATGTACACGCATACATGTACACACACTACGCCCGCACATGCCTTCACATGCACGCACACACAAACCACACACGTCTACTCATGCACACACATGAACCACATTGCACAACTACACATATGTGCATACACCACACCCACACACATGCTTTCACACATGCATGAACATACTTGCACATATATGCACACACCACACCTGCATGCCTTCATATGTACACACATACAAACCACACACGTCTGCATATGCACACGTGAGTATGCACCTGCATGTATGATACACAGCGTGCCCACATTTGCCTTCGTGTATGCACATATACACGCCACATGCATGCACACGAACCACATGTACACGCTTGCACACAGCACACCCACAAATGCCTTTACGTATACACTCATACAAGCCACACGTATACACGTATGCACACACACAAACCACAGGACACGCTTCCACATATGTGCACACACCACAGCCACACATGCGTTCACATATGCACACGTACAGGCCACACATTTACACATATGCACACCACACGCAGAGATGAAAAACATTTGCACGGTTTTCTGGGTTTGTCTGGTGCCTCTCCAAGAAGCATGCTTTGGTTGTGTCATTCCAGAGAAGGTGCTCATAAAAAGGACGCATTTGTTCTGCATGTTTTTTCCATCGTGTATTGGAAATTGTCGCTCACCTGTTTCCAAGGATCTCCTTTGAAAGAATAGCACGCGTGCAGAACTATCATGTTTTCCCACGACTTTGACGGCTGCTAAACTCTAAGACCATCAATTGTTTCAAACACGAGCTAACGTTCTTACTTGGAAGTGTGACAGTGACTATTTAGAATGAGAGGAGAAATCACAACGCATTCTGCCTTTTAAAAGCCGCTTCATACCACGGCCATTATAAAATCTGGCAAAAATACCGGGCTTTTTTTTTTTTTTTTTTTTTTTTACTGTTTTCTTAATTTTCGAGTTTACTTTTAACTTTCCTTATTTCTAACCGGACTCTTTTTTCTTTTAGACGGAGATTTTGATTTGTCAGACGCCGTTCTTGGTAAGTGCTAGGAAAACCGCTTTTGAGAGTGCAATGAATATTTTCTTGGAACATAGTAAATATATTTCAACGGGAAATCATTCACACACCCTGTGGTGGTCACCAATGCCGAGCAGAGTTGCCAGGCCCTGGGGGAAGGACGGGGCTGTCCCCGGTGGGCACCCTTTGGTGCTGTCCCTGGGCTGGGGGCCGCCTCCTTCCCGTCTCTGCCTCCGTCTTCACGTGGCTTCTCCTCTGTGTCTGTGTCTCCACGTATCCAGATTTCCTTCTTCTTTTAAGGGCACCAGACCTATAAGGGTCTATGCCAATCCAGTAGGATTTCATCTTAACCAGCGCCATTTGCAACGACCCTATTTCCAAAGGCATAAATATTGCCTAAATTTGCGGGGCACGGTGTTCAACCCAGGACATCTTTTAAACTCCTTGTGGTCCAATGCACAAGGCTGCAGTTGGAACGATGGGGACAAACAGTAGTCCCCAAGAACCAACGCGGACAATCTTATTCCTAATGATGGAGTCCTTTTTGGCCCCTGGGAAGAGATGCGTGTGGTCGGGGGCATCCTTGGTCCTTACAAACTCCACTTGGTCTGCTTCGGTTCCCAGACGGGGTGGCCCTGGGTGAGGGTTCCGTGGAGCAAGGAGCGCGTCCCACATAATAAAGGTGAATGGTATTTCAAGCAGGGGTCCCGCGTCTCTCCTTCTCCCGGGCAGATTTGGGGCTCTCCACGTCGTCTTTGTGCTGAATTCACGTTCTCCTGGCCCCCTCTTTCGCGCACAGCCTCATCGGCCTCACGAGGTGGGAGGGAGGCGTTGGTCTCAGGGTCAACCGCGGCCGACGTCAGCCTTTGTTCCTGTCGCCGTGGGCCCTACGGGGCTCAAGAGTCTTCTCGTCCTCGGCCGCTACCTGAGCCGTCAGGAAAAGCGAGGCTTCCAGCATTCTCCCGGCTGTTTTTAGGGAAATGGAACATGCTTGAGAATTGGCTGTTGGACTGCAAGTTTTACTGACTGAACTGTCTTTTCTCTTTAGAGGATGATAAGAAACCGACTCCTCCACCCCCCAAAAAACCCGGTGCCGGTAAGAAGCGAACGTTCCTAGCATGCCGAGAAATCGTTCTCGTGTGCCTCAGTTTCCCTAAGGGCTGGACGAGATGTCAACAGCTGTAAAGATGAGGAACGTGGGGCTGCAGATGTGGTCTGGTTAATATCTGAGTTGCGTGGTGACATCGTTGACACTGTCAAGTGCAACGGTTACCGTAACAGAGTGGACGCTGACGCCTCTGGGAGACGCTTTTGGGCCATTTGCAAAACCCCCCTGGATGCTCTTCTTTGAGTGTCCATTCCTGTTTTTGGAAACTCGTTGCTTAGGAGAAACAATTTTAGGCTCCGAGACCCCCATGGAACCCCCCCCCGCCCCGCACAAACTCAGATCTCAGCGTCTAGGACGTTGTTGCTGTTTGTCACTGATCTTTTTAGATAAAAGTCGGGAACCAAGGATGTACAATGGAATTGCCCGAAGGTCACGTCCATTGGTGGTTAGCCACTGGGAGTAAAACTGATGCCCAGAGTTATGCAGCTCTTATCCCTGTCTGAGTTTGTTTTAACTTGAATAGTTCTGTTCGATTTAGTTCTGAATTTAGTTATTGGGCTTCCCTGTGGAAAGTCATCTCAGGAGTGAAGGACTTAGCATCCGCCTGGTCCAGACCCCGGTCTCGGGACCGTGCAGGCGCACAGAGGATGCCGCAGAAGGCGTTGTTGAACGGCGGAATCTGCACCGTCACGCCCTCCTTGGGGCAGAGACGGTGCTCCCACTCGGGTTTCAGAACAGCTCAGTACGTTGCGTTGGGCGGATACCCAAGTGCCCCCCCCAGACGTAGCTAGAACTTGAAAAGTTCTGAAAACTAAGGCGGCAACCTCTGGAAGCATCAGGAATCGTCGCCTCCTTTGGTTGAGTCAGTAGAACCGCTTTTTAGGTGCACTCCATGGCAAATCTGGCCGCGGACCTCTTCGTGTCCGCCTTGCATATGTTGGGGACCACGTGGGAAGGGGTGATGGTGGGGTTGGAGGTCCCTGGAGGCGGTGATGGGCCGGCGGGGCTGGAATTCCAGCTCGGTCTGTGTGGAGTAAGGGGTTCACCCAGAATTTCGGCATTAACGACCGGTTTCCCTTCCTCTAGACGATGACTTCAATTTGGAAGATGCCCTTGGGGGTGGAGGAAGCAGTGAGTACCTCGTTTAAATTTCCTCTGTGGCCGGCTGGGTGATTATTGTGAAATTAGGATCATTTCAAAGAGACTTCTCTCTCTCTCTTTGTGGGTGAAAGCGGGATTCCGTTTATTTCAAGGTTTCAAGACGCACAGAGCAACGGAGCATATTTTTATGGAGTCGTTGTCGGTCATAAAAGTGCAGAGAAACAGCGGAAAGTGAGAATGAGCCAGAATTTCCAGAAAAGGGGTTTCCCCGGGTGGGGTTAGGGAAGGCAAGATGTTAATTAAATTGTCCGTGGGGCCATAAAAGGAGGGGAAGGAAGAGATGAAGAGGAAAGAAGGGAGGAAATGAGAGGAATTCAGTGAGAGCCGGTCCCGAGGGCCAGAGCGGGGCTCGGCTCTGTAGAATGTGCTAACACTCTAAGCCTGTGTAGACTGAACTCAGGATCGAGTTTAACGGGTTCAGTTAACCACTGCCAATTAAAAGACCTCCTTTCTCCCTGCATCCTTTGAACTCTAAAAAGTCGGGAATATGCACCCACGCTCTACTTCTCTTGACCGAAACCAACATGAAACTTCCTTTCTTGTCGCCTCTGTGACTCCGCTGTTCAGGTTGACGGACACAGGGCTGTGGGTTTTCCCATTCTTTAAACTCTGTAGTGGTGGCGTCTGCTTCTCATTCGTTTTCAGAAAATAGGTGGCTGTACTTTGGGCATCCCTTATATTTGACCCCACAGAAGGACGTCCTCTGGCAGAATGGTTACGGTCAAGCAGAGTGCTTGACACAGTTTGTGGTTGTCATCGGCAGTAGGCACCAGGCTTATGGGGTGTCAACTGTTATTAGCTACCGACTGAACACAGGCTCTCGGAGATGTTGTAGGACCACAAGGATAAATCAATTTAAAAAAAAAGGTTTTCTACTAATAAACAATTTTCCAAAATATCAACATCCGATGAGGATTCCCATTGACCGCAACGGGACAAGACAGAAACAAGAATATTTCTACATTGTGCCTGAAGACATAAAAAGAATGACCCGGTGCGACCACCGTGCTAATTGGGATTCTTGCTTCTTCCCTCCAGCCTCCTCCCTAAAAATACATTTTTAGGTAAAATGTAATCAACATCAAAATCCATGAAGCAGTCATGAGTGGTCTCGCTTCGTGGGCGTGGGACCTGTGTGGTCGCTCACTCGGAAGGAGCCCCATCCTTGGTTGAATGCTCTGTGGCCGCCATATTGAAATTCTTCATACCGTTTGAGCAAGGGGCCCTGCGTTTCCATTTTGCCCTGGGCCCCGAAAACTCTGTCACTGGTCCGCACGCCTGCTTTTAGTTTGTGTCGGAAATAGGTGAGGTGAAGTGTTCCCGCTGGATGGCGATGGAAAGAAACTGGCAGGGGGCTGCGTGTGTGGGTACGCCCACCGTGAGAAAGGACGCACTCCGATTTCTGTTTGGTAAACCATCGGTGTGCAAATGGGTGTTTTGTTTTCTTGACGGCAAAGAGCTCATCGTTGCAACTCTCGTCTTTTGCAGATGACCCTGCGCCACCCGCCCCACCCAAGCCACGACCTCCTCCAAACCCCAACCAGCCTGGATCATCTGGTAAGACCCCCCCGATCCCCGAGGGCCCTCGGTGTGTTTTCCAGAGAACAGCGGTTTCCCCCTCCGCTGAGGGGAGATTGGCAGGTGCTCCTCACGGTGGACCCCCTGTGCAAGGTCGCGCCAATCTCCCAGCAGGGGAAGGCGGTTTCCAAAAAGATGTTTTTTGAGTAGATTTGATTTTTTAACGTGCTGATTATACTTCCCAGATTTTATGGAACCTTGAAAAATGGAAATGCAAGAGTTCAAATATATGGAATCAATGTGGAGAGAAGCATCCACGTTGCGCATTCTCCGTAGAGAAGCTACTGTTTTTTAAAGCTTTTCGCCTTTTTCTGACACATCGTGGTAGAGTAATTTGGCCAACACCAGTTTAGTGAATTGAATGGTTGTTGGAACTTCACATTTTGAATGGGTTTCTTTGGTTTAATTTTTAACACAGAAAAATATAAATACTCCGTGTTCTACCACTGTCGACATTTTGACGTTATTCTGTCCAGTAGTGCATCTGTCAATTTCAATTAAATAAATTTTAAGTAAAAGTGTCTATCTTTTGTTCATATAGTCAGGACATTATTTTTTGCTTGTTAATATTCCATCAACATTTCCTCGTATCACTTAATAGTTTTATCATCGAACTTTCGATGGCAATTAAATGCTATCGTAACCAATCTCTCATTTTGAAAAGGTTATGGTTCTTCTGATATTTTAGAACGATGAATTGCAAAGCAAATTTAAGCCATCTGCACATGCGTGCTTTTTTTTTTTTTTTTATTATTCCCCAAAAGAGATTTCTAGAAGTCAAATTGTTTCGGCGAGTGTGGGTGAACCCCCTTCAGTTTTTGACGTTTTTCCACAATTGCTGGCAGAATCGTACCAGTTGACCCCGCGTCTGTCCCGCTGTGTGTGCAAATGGCCGTGTCTTCACAGCATCACCCATGCTGGTTATCACCACCGGCAAACCCCTTGTCCGATACAGCGGTGCACAGCATCACGACATTTCGGTCCGTGACGGACCGCCTAGACGCTGGTGGTCCCCTAAGATTAATCCCATTACAGCCTAGGTGTGTAGGAGGCTAGACCAGCTCGGGTTGTGTAGATTCACGCTATGATGTTCGCACAACGATGACATTGCCTAGAGACACATTTCTCAGAACGTGTCCCCTTCGTCCTTCGATGTGTCACTGTAGATCGTGGAAAACGTTCAGCCACTCTTGTCCTGGTTTCGCGTCTTTATTTCTGAAATTTAAAAGAAAACTCAGGGCGTCAAGTGACCACTTTTATAGTTTTTCTGGGCTGTTTGGGTGGCTTGGGATGTCTGTTCTTATACTTTTAAGATATCCAGCATTTCCTTTTGTGTTTATAAGCCTGCCTCGTTTCTTTATGGATATTATTTTCAAACGTTTATTATGAAAATATTTTCCCGCTTATTTTTTTTTTTTTGCCTTTGAATGTTTCTAACGTTGTTTTTTGACAAGCAAGACTCGAAATCTTTGTGGCGTCCTTTATGCTTGTGTGGCTCCACTGCTGGCTTGTGGCTGTTTTATTTTTTCGTTTCGACTTTGGAATCGTTTTGTCATTGTCCCTCTCCCCTCTTGGAAAAAAGAAAACCTTCTTTTTATTTTCCTTTGAATTGTTCACCACTGTAAACTGATTCATGGCGTGCTGACATATTGGCAAAATTGAGCTTTTTCCTTGGGATTCAATTCTATGTGACTCTTTCTCCTTAGGATATTTAAATGTATTTTAAATTTCCTCCCTGTTTTTATTTGTTTCTATGAATGCATTTTTACGTCCATTTTGTCTCATTATTTCTGTAATATGGAGCAGATTTTGTTCATTTTTCCTAAGTAACTACTTAAGGATGATCCCTTGGTAACTTTTAATAGTTTTCCCTTCATTTCTTATCTTTTCTAAGAAGACTGTTGTGTTATTTGCAAATGATTTTTTTCATGTTGTCCTTTTTCATGTTTATATCCTCTCTTTACAATTTCCTTGTATTTGTATCATGCTGCCTTGGCTGGAAAACCCAGGACAGCGTTAAATATGAAAGAAGAGAGGAGACTTTTGTCATTCCTGACTTTGAAGCAAAAACCCAGAGATTTGCCTTTACAGAAAAGAAAATTGCCTTTTTTTTTTTTAAAAAAAAAAATTTTGGTATTTATTTCAGGAACTATCTTTCTATTGCAATTCCCTTTTTTTTCCTAAACAGGAATAAATCAGGGCATGTGGTCATCCACACGGGTGGTCATTTTTTCAAAATTTTAACCCATGACTATGGCACGTGGTATTGAAGGATGTCTTTAGAGAAAATGCGCCTTTGCATTCATGGAATAAATTCTACTTAGTCATGCTAGGTTCTCTTAAGCTGATGGGTGAAATTGGGTGCGTATCCGCTGGCTATTGGCGTCTGGCAAACCATCCTCAAGCCCAGTGGCTTAGAACTTTAAAAATCGGTGCGTCTGACGAGTCTGGGTTGGACTTGCCTGATTCGGGCTTGGTCCTCGTGTGTGTCTGTGGTCGGCTGGTGGGTCTTCCGGGCTGGACTTCTCCGGGGTGGCCTCAGCTGGGCTGACAGGGGTCTTCCTCCTGTGTCTCTCGCGTTGTTACACCCGCCTCCCGTGGGTTCATTCTCAAGGGGCGGAAGCCCCAGCCCCATAGAGGCTATTTTTTAAGTATCTCTTTGTCTGCATTTTGCTCACACCCGGTTGCCCAGAGTCAGTCACCTGGCTGAGTCCAGGGTCATGGGGTGGGCAGAACATTGCACCCCCTCAATGAGGAGGGTGAAAAATTAGGGCCATCCTTGCGATGAGTCTGAACCAGGTAGATCCCTTTAGGACTGTTTTATGGCTATTCGTGCCAAAGATGGACAGGCACTTTTCCGTTTCATTTGAGGTCATCTTTTCAAGGTTTAGTAGCAGCGTTTTTGGTAAGACCGATTTCAGGAGTTTTAAAATGGAGTGGGCATTCATCGTAATTGCATATTGGAAAGATTTCTTCATATGTAAGGTAGTAGCTTTGTGGGTCTCCCCAGATCCACTTTTGATTCTGGTGCTGTTTTCCTTCGCTCCCAGACGTCAAGACCCTCCCTCCCCTCAACCGCCAACAATTCCAACACGACAGCTGACGCCGTGTTTTTCCTTCTAGGTGGATTTTCAGATTCCGACCTCGTTGATGGGGATTCAGGTGGAGGTAAATCGAACCCTTCGCCTGTCTCTTTTCTGCCTCTGTCCCCCATGACCGTCATCCTCTCCAGACTCACAGCACGGTCCAAAGTCACAAAGTCAGCAAAGTCAGCGCCGGCTGCCTGAGAATCTCTTGCGAGCTCTGCCTTCTGCAGAGGCGTCTGGGGTGTGGACCGTGAGACTGGCCCCTGGGAGCTGTGTTCACAGTTGGTGGAAATCCCCTCCTTTCCCGTGTGGATGGAGGGTGATTCTCAGACCTCTCCTCTAGTGGATCATAATGATAATCGTAGATGTTTATAATAATTACGATATGCTCATGTTCATTTATTGTATTTATAGTTTATCTTAATATATATTTGTATGTCCCGGGAGCCAACAGGAATGTACCTTGGGTCGCCCACAGTCATGGGCGGGGTCTCCGGTGGGCTCCAGGGCCCTGGCTGGGATGCTCCCCGAGCTCATGGGACAGAATCCCTGAGGCATCCAGGACTCGCTGGGTCTTCTGGAACCTGCCGTGGGAGGAGCGGTCTGAGCCTGGTTTTCAGACAAGTGGGAGCGAGATGGACAATGCCTTCAGCAGAGCGGGGTGTCCCCACTCAACGGAGGAAAAGGGCTCCGTGGTATTCAGTGGCCTCATCAGTCGGTCCCATGGTCGTTTCTGTTAAGATACCTTCCCAACCCAGGGTCACAGGAGCTCGTCCTTGGTGTGAGCCTTCCTTTCCCAAAAATCTTCCTGATGCAATTTGTCAACAAGCTTTTGTTCCTCTCTTGCAGCAGGTGGTGGAGGCGGCGGTGGCCATGGAGGCCAGGGTCACGGCAGCGGGGAGCAAGGTACGGACACCGGGTCTGTGACCTTTGGGGCTTCTTGTACACGCTGTCGAGAAAAGGGGGATGCCGTGGTTGACCTGCCGCTTGGCATCTGCACCGTCTTCCTGCAGATCCTGGCACGAGGCGTGGTTCTCCGTGCCACGTGTGTTCAAGAGCGTGGCTGACGTAGCCGGTTGAGGTCTTCCCCATATGTCCAGCAAGTGGGTGCTGACATGACTGACCCGCATTTTCAGTTCAGCCTCCCTCCCTAAAAAGTGCCCCGCCTGGTGACCCACAGATGCTGGCATGCGAGCCCGATAGTCTGGTCCCCAGGCCCCCCGGTCAACCTCATCCCCACACGTGGTGAGGTCCGTTCCTCTAGCAGATCTTGGGGACAGAAGCCCATTATGCCGGATCCTGGGTTCCCTCTGGTCCTTGAGCAAAGAAAATGAGGAGGTTGGAGCCTTGACTGTAAATCCCCCTGGCTGCTAAGATTGGTTGTATTCTTGACATGGAAGAACAGATGGTTTATCTCACTTCTCCTTTGTCACAAACCGTTCCCTTATAAGGGATAAGAAAAATAAGCATTCAAAGAATTCCTTTAAAAACTCAAAAACGAGAGAGAAAGAAAAAAGGAAGGAAGGACGGTAGCTTCGTCTTTTGGTATCTCGTGTCCCTAAAAAAAATTGGCGGGTCACGCTTCCACGTTGCTTCTGGCCGAATTGCTCGTTTTAAGCATTTTCTTTGGCAGATGAGATATTTATTCGGGCAAAGATTTTTAACATCTCTCTGCCGTTTTGATCAACGTTAAGACGCGGAGTCTTCAATGTGTGGTGAATAGTCTCGAAACGTTCTTAAAGTTCTTGGAGAAAAAAATTCTTAGAACGTGTGATGAATCATCTCGGAAAGAGAAACGCGAGCAGCGTCCCTTGATTTTATGGATTTGCCATTTTGAAGGTCACGATCTTGGATTCTAAGCTCTCCTTGCAGAGGTGATGATTTGCTCGTCATCCTTGCCTAGAACGAGAAGGCCACTCAGGAGGAAATGCCCCAAGAAGATGTACGCCTAGCACTTTTATGTCGGGCCATCCTTCTTGGACTCCTCATTTCTAGCTTCTGTTGGATACGTGGCTTTATCAGGGAGGGTTGGCCAAGCCTGAAGCGTCTTTTCTACGATGTGACCCTGATTTGCGTACGTTGAAGTCCAGCAGGGCAAAAGCAGCCACCGGCAGTCGGTGTTAGAAGCGATGTTTTTGCTGACGCCCGGCAAAGTATTTGTTTTTCTTCCTCTTGGGGAAGCTAAGACTTTTCTATCTGGGGAAACGCTTAGGGTTCAAATATGGCAGCTAGAGTTGGGAAGTTCTCTTCGTTTTCCACTGACGGACACTGGTCCCCGAATAAAGGCAAGAGGACGTGTTTTCTGAGTGGCTCCGTGGTTTTAGTGATTGTCCCCAAAAGCTTAGTCATGTGGCAGATTGCCTTGTTCCGTACGAAGACTGTGCAAGCATTGCACGTGGATTGCCCACAGCGCATCGAGGGAGGGAGAAGGGTTTCTTACATCTCCACGGGGTAGACGCTCATAAGCATGTGGTCAATTTAAAAGAGTGGGGTTTTGTTTCGTGGACGTCAATGTCCGCGTAGCATGGATCACCTGGAATTCTTTCCCGGACCCTTGGGCATTGTCCACGTGTCCTCAGAGGAAATGCCACCATGTTCCAGTTTAGCTCGAAACTACTATCCTATGTGCTGATCCGATTTTAATGCCCGATGTCGGGTGTCCTGCCCGCGACCTGTAGCCTTTCCTACACATCTTCCTGAGGCTCGCTCCCTCTCCTCATTCCGGCCCCCCTTTCGGCATCACCTTATGCGAAAGGTCGTCCCTGAGCTACCGAATCAGAGGGCCCACCTCCTGCTGTCACCTACCCGAGGCACGTCCTGTGCCCTCAACCCACTAGGATGCTGTCTGTCTTTGTTCCCGGTAACCCACGACCAGGAACGCTGCTTAGCAAATCCTGGGTGCTCAGTCCATAAATGTGGGCGGAGGGATGCTATTCTGTGGACCTCAGAGCTGGACCTCAAATACCCATTGGGAAGCTTTGGGCATGGCGGTCACCCCGCTGTCTCTACACCCCGCTGATTCTCCAGAGAAACAGAACCAACAGGATGCGTGTAGATAAAAAGAAAGAGAGAGATTATGAGGAATTGGCTCGCGTGACCGCAGAAGCCGGGAAGTGCCACCGTCTGCTGTCTGCAAGCTGGAGCCCCTGCCCTGCGGTCTTCTCTCCTTGAGTGGTCTTCCCTCCCCGTCACACTGCCTTGTGCTTCTCCCCACAGCCGACTCCCCCGGGGTGGTCCCCGGCATCGTGGGGGCCGTCGTGGTCGCTGTGGCCGGAGCCATCTCTAGCTTTATTGCCTACCAGAAAAAGAAGTTGTGTTTCAAAGAGAATGGTAAGGCTTCTCCCCTGCTTCCTTCTCTTTGTGCCTCATTAACTTGAAAACTGTGCTTTCTTAAAAAAAAAAAAACAAAAAAAAAAAAACTAAACCCAAGCAGAACTCAGGTTGGCATGAAACACGTGGAAGGTGACTGATAGTTTGTGAAATCGCTGGAATGCTGGGATCAGGTTGGCTGGCTTCGATCCCGGCGCCGTCCTGTGTTCAGCGGTGTAAACTTTGTGCAGGTTACTCATGGTCACGGTCTTTAGATTTTACATCCATAAAGGGGGAGATGATAGTCCATACGCCATAGAGTTTTTGTGTGGGTCAATAAGGTCGTGTGTGAAAGTCTTGACAGGTTGCCTGGCAGAGAGTGAGTGTTGAAGAAACGTTCGCTCTTAGGATTTCTTCATCTTTGTCTAGAGTCACCATCATCCTCATCATCAGTGGGAGAAGAGCCATGGCCAGGGGGCCGCCATATTGGTTTTTCCACCCAAGTGAATTAAAATCGAAACACAGGGCAGCAGATTCCCTTTTTACTAAGGAAGGTTCTTGGATGGGATATACGACTTATAGAGGAATATGGAATATGGAGAATGTCACTCTTACCAGTGATTGGAACCCCCTCCTTGGGCGTTTTGAGACGTTGTTTGCAAAAGTCCCTAAATTACTTAGGATCTGCCCTGATGTCAGTGACTTCTACTTATTTTGAACGCGGCTGATGTGCATGCATCTTTGGAAGGCTCTGTCTCCATCTTGTCTTTGTTCCTGCAGGACTAACAAAGGGTGGGCTGCGATGTGGTTTGTAGGGGGGGGGGGCGTCTCATGGACTGTGGATACCCCTCGTTCTTCGAGGAGCCTTCTGGTGTCTGAACTTCTCATCCTGAAGATGATCTTAAGTCCTTATTCATAGTTAGCCATTGACCTCATCCGCCTAAAGGACCACTTCCTGAGGCCTCTGGGGAAATTCCCAAAAGGTTTGACCGGATGCTGATGGAGGCGATAGACCACACGGATGGGGGTTACCCTTCCTCTTCCATCATTCCAAACTTCGAGGTCCACAAACGGTACTTATAGCCTGACATCGAAAGTCCTAAACAGCCTTTGGATTCAGAGACCTAAAGTAAGCTCCCTCCTCTTGCCATAGAGGCTAAGGGTGCCCAGTGGCATCTCATTTCCCACATGTAACCAGGCACCAAACACCTATCTCCTCTTGCTTTTCCTAGAAATAGCAGAGAGGTTAAATGAATAGGTTAAAATGAATTCGTGTCTCCTTTTCAATTACCTTTTTCCCCCTCTCTGAAGATGCTCAACTCAGAGCGTGATGCTCAGCCAGGAGAAAGGCGTGTTGAACTAGGGAAGGATGCGTGGCAAGTTTTCTAAACATCTGTAGCTGAACCCCAGTTGGATTCTGGAATTGCAAAAATGTTTCTATCACCTTGTGTATGGGGTGTAGGACCGTTGGGATATTGTGGTGCTAGTCCACATTCATATGCCAAGCAAGGCATTCAGGAAGCACCCAAGAATCCTAGTAGACTTGACGTCGCCCAATATTTGGAAATGGGATTCGAGAGTTGGGAAAACCAAGTGCTGTCCATTCCACCCAACCCCATCCTTGAGTCTCGGTCTTTGGTTGAAGCCCTCTGTGCATTGCGGGAGTAGGAGCGGGCATGAAAATGGAAAGCTGGTCGGGGAGAAATAGTTGAACCGACCATTTTCCAAAATAAAAGCATCCTTTCTGAAGAATTGGTTCAAGACAGTCCAGGATTCAACTTATGCTACCGAGGAGCTAAATTCATTTCCCTAGAATCTTGTCTACCATCTTGTCTTCTTCTTGGGCTGAATTTGCTTGAGGTGCAACTTGAAGTCTTGAGTTTTCTTCCTGGTTTTTATGGGGCTCATGATCTCGAGCTTATGTAGACGCAGAAGGCAAAGGGCAAAGCTTCACCCGGGAAGGAAGCCGGTACTGGTGACTTCAACAATTAGGCACTTTGGTCTCCAGCCGGTAAAATGCACAGCGTTAGCACAAAGAAAATTAGGTGCTATTGTCCTAGAAGACCAAGACTCTTAAGGCAGAAGAGTATTTTCTTGACTCCACGGATAGACATTCCGCTTTTAAAGACCCGTATTATAAAATGCATTCAGTGTTTGTCTCGGTGACGCGTTTTTATGAACACAGGTAGAATTGAAATGTGGAATCCAGGAACGGGGAGCATAAAGATCCTAGAGCCTTTGGGGTGTGTGCAGGACTGTTTTATGGGTTTTCCTCCTGTGATGGTCACGTTTAGGATGTGCGAGCCCATCTGAAATTGTGAGCTTGGACATTTCCTAAGAAGGGCGTGGCCACAGCCTGCTCCATCCTTAAAGAAACCATGCTTTGGGGAAACCATTATTCTGCAATAGCGGACGTTTTTGGGGAGCCTGATTTTCCAGGACCTGGTCAGGGTATTGAAACGCGTAGCGTCCGTTGAATGGGCGGCAACGTTAGTCTCCAGCAGGCGTGCTGGCTCATTAATGCCGTCTCGGACACGGGGTCGTGGTCCATGGGCGTCTTTGCGTTTTAGCGTGCTGGCTTTGAGTAACTGGTTCCAGCGACGGGCGACACGGAGCCTGGCCTGCTTTGCCAGAGCGCATCTGGCTTTTGTCGTTGGATGTGGACAAGGCGTCTTGCCGTGCGCGTGGCGGCTGGTTCCTGTTGCTCACGCACGTCCGCCCCCCCCCCGTTTGGAGCATCGTTGGCTGAGGGCTGTGTCTTGGGGTTTTGGTGAAATGAGCTACTGGTGTGTCCTCCGTTATCCCCTCCCTCTGTCCCCTCCTTAATTTTGGGGTCCACGTCGGATTCCAGCTTCCCGCTGCATTTTGCTCTTTAAACGCCTGTCGCTTTCCTTCTGAGCCCCGAGGACGTCTTTCTAACAGCTCGTGGCTGCTGCCTGGGGCCTTGGCTCATCCCCGGAGCAAACCTCTCGGAAGTTTACTTTCTTTTCTCTTTTTCCATCTTCCGTTTCAGACGCGTAGAAGATGTAGGCACGAGCAGAAAACCCTGTGCGGCCTGCGAGATCTTCCCGTCTAAAGCGAACCTTGGCGTCTGTCCTTTTCTTGTGCTCGATTGCCACGGATTTGTGCTTCTCCCAGAGCGGATTCCGTACCTTGACTTCTGTTGCGTTTTCTCCCTTCTCGACGCATGGCAGCTTGTTACGTCGTAGGAAGGCGCCGGTTGCTTCAGAAAATGACGAGAGATGCAGATTTCTTTTTAATTAAATCCGACAGGAAGAAATGGAGTGGGCGGCTTCCATGTATTAATCGGGTTTGTCCCCGTCGAGTCCATCCTTGCCAGTAACTCAGGATGGAGGGCACGGGGTGGCCACCACCCGCCCTGCAGTGTCCTGGGGTGAAGCCAGCTCCGCTTATAAGGTTCCATCTCTTCACGCCACCGATGCAATTTTTAACCCTCCGATTTCACAGCCCCTGCATTTTTAGGTTGCATTTATCACTGCACTTCCCATGAAAGCAGTTCCTAACTCTCTCTCTCTGCTCAATTTTTCCAAATATGGGAACTTCCCAGTCTCAGGGGGGGAAAAAACCCCACGTATTTAGGAATAACCCTCAAATCTCACCATCTTCACATTTTTAAGGTCAATCGGGAGAAGTGGTGGGCGGCCGGATCTTGTGAACGGCTGAGAATCCTTGCATCTTTGCGCATCCCTGAGGGAACCGTCGCCCTCAGGATGACGTAAAGATGGGGGCCTGCCGTGGCCCCAAGTGTGTTTCACGCATATGCACAAGTATTTCCCCAGCATAGAGACCGGCCTGAGCCACCATTGCTGGCATCGCTGTCACAGCTACGAATGACGGACGCTGAGCCTAAAAGAAAAACACGTGAATTGCTGTATCTTATCGTGAGATGCGGCGTGTTCGACCTTCTGAGTTTTGAAGGCTGAAGCCGGCGGCATGGATGGTGGATCTCTGGGAACCTGTTCTCGTCTTTGGGATGCACGGCGTTGGGGGTGGCTGCTTGGGTCCCCGGGGCTGGCACAGGTTTCCTCTGGGAGGTCGGGGGGGTCCGGCTGAGCATCCTCAACCACAAAGCTCCTGTGTGCTCCCTCCCTTTGCAACGTTGGCCTTGCCGGGGCTGCATCAGCTCCAGCTAAGAGTGGTCCCCACCGGCCAGAGCCTTGGGGGTTCTTGGAGAACCGTCCTGGAGACAGAGCTGCATTTTAATACAGCCAATGACGGTGCCACATTATTGCTCCCTTCCCCAAGCGTATTCTGAATCTAATTCCTGCTCCCAGAGGGTGGAGACCTCTCCCGTGCCAGGATGCACCCACCTCGCTCCCTGGAAGGCACAGCCCCAAACCTGTCCCTGCAGAATATTCTCCCCGGATGCCGGGGATTTGTGACGCCAACGCCAAAATATGGAGTACGAATACCGCCCTCCTCCCCCCAAATGTCTATTCAGTGTTTACAACAAAAGATGCCTCTTACTCATTGGAAATAAATTTTGCCACCAGTGGATTTTGGCCTTGCAATGCTTTGTTGATTTCAATGAGTTTTTTTTTTTTTTTTTTCCCCTGGACAGCCAGGTTTGATGGAGCATTTCTCAACCCTGTTAGAACGACCACCTTTGCTGTTTCCATTTGCTCTTTTTTTTTTTTTGGTAGGGAAATTAGTTGTCCTGTGAAATGAAAGCAAATTTAGGACTTTTTGCCATGACAGTTTGCCCTGAAATGTGCCCGTCGCGATGACCCACCGCCTGCCCCGCCAGGGGAAGACGGGACGTGCACGGTCGCCGCCGTGCGATGCTTTTACGGATCTCTTCCGACGCTCTCCTCTTTCTTTTTTTTAATCTTAGAATGTTGGTGTCTAAAGGGGGTCTCGCTTCGTGGTTGGGGGCGGGGGTTACGGATGAGGGAATCAACCTCACCCGGATTGCCAGCCGTTTTCCTGTGGCCCGGATTCAAAGCCGTGCCGCGAGTTTGCTCGCCAAGGCGTTCTAACCGCGGTTCGATACAGACGCAAGCTTTGTGACCGGGGGGGGGGAAAACAAGTCACGGATCTGGTGAGCTCACCCAGGTCCCTCTCGTGTTGAAAGTGCACCGTTTACCTGTCCCGTAGCAGGAAGGAGATAAATGCATCTTGTCTGTGCATCTCTCGAGAGTTTGGAATTCTGTCTCCTGAATGCTGGATGCCTTGGAGAACGTGTGTGGGAATGGCCGTGTCGGCGTCGATGCGTGTTTTAAAAAATTTTGCAGTAGCAATTTGGAACTTGAAGGAAAGATAACCCAGGAGCAAGCAATGGGGACCCCACGAGGCCCCCCCTGGAGCTCTGATTTCCTGGGTGGCGGTGTCTTGCTCCTGCTCACTCACTTGGCTTTCGGAGGGGAGGGTTGGGGAGGAGGGCACGGGGCCGGTTCGGCCCACGAATGACGACCAGGGTGTGTTATCTTTGTATTCACCCTCTTGTGCTCTCTTCCAGCCGAGCAAGGGGACGTCAACATGGAAAACCATCACAGCACCAACGCCGAGCCAGCCGGTAAGAGGGGATGCTGAGCATCACCCGCCCATCAGTGTGTCCGTTCTGCGTCCTCCAACGGCACTCCGGCCCCGCCATCCTGCCCCCCCCAACCCCAACCCCGTTCTCAGATCGGGTTTATGGCATCGGATGTGTTCCTTGGTGTCTCCTTGCTTTCAAGGGGATTCCTTCTGGGAGACCGATGTACAAACTGGAGCTTGAACCTTCAGTTGAGACCTAGCGATGCTGGAGACTCTCTTTAACTATCAATTAGGATAATTTTCCAAGCGGCCCCCCCCGCCCCCCACCCCCGTTAATGCGTGGCCAGAGAGTCAGCAGCTGGCTGGGGTGCAGCAAAGATTAAAAGTGCACCTTCCGAGATATAATTTTTTGTCACCTTCTGTGGTCACTGGTACAAAAATCCTCCCAAGCAGGTGCAGAATCGGGTAGAGAGGAAATTGTTTAAAGTATGAAAACATTTCAGGGTTAGAGACGGGCGTTCTGCGATTTAGGATGACTTTAGGAAATAGCAGGAAAAAAAAGAACCCTGGTGAAAATATCTTCTTGTCTCTTTGTCCTGGGCAGTTCAGCGGACTCTTCTGGAGAAATAGAAGCTGGGCGGGAAGAGCAGCTCTGACATCCGCAGCGGCGTTCCCAGCCTTGCCTGCTGCCCCTGTCGGAAGACGGCCCTCGGGAGGGGAGGACAGAGCCGCCCCCGGGAGCCGGCCTGTCCCGTTCACACCTCCGCTCCAGTCGGATGCTCTGTTTTAATTTTGACATGTGTGCACCCGTCTCCCTGCCGGGTAGATGATGTGGACTGACAATGAGTTTTGCATCCAGAGGGGACCTGCATTTGCCTTCTCCATGGCCCTTAGGGGTTTCCGGTGTCATGTGCAAAGCAGGCCACCACAAAGTCATTCGAATATCGACCCCACTGAAGTTCCCCTGAGGGGAAACTCTGGGCCATTTGCAAAGGGCATTGAACCCGCCTGAGACCTCCCTAACATTGACCGTTTTATAGAGTGAGGTAAGCCTTCCGTTAGTTTCCTCCAAATTTCTTTCATTGGTTAGGACTTTTTTTTTTTTTTTTTTTCCACACCAGACGAATAAAAAGAAATTAGAAACCGAGTACTTTTTACTTAAATGTTTCGCTCTGGGGTGACTTTTAAAGAAGGCTGTGAAGACTAGTGGGATGGATCCCATGTTCCCCTTTCTGGGCTGTAGGACGAATGATCCACCTGAGTGCCAGCTCTTTATTTCCAGGGTTTTCTTTCTCTGCCCTTTTCCTTTAGCTTGCCTTGTCGTATCGGCGACAAGTATTTCTCAGTGTTGAGATATTCCCCGGAATCAGATACTCCCCTGCATCAGATACTCCCCTGCGTCAGATACTCCCTCATATCGGATGCTCTCTGCATCAGATACTCCCCTGCATCAGATACTCCCCTGCATCAGATACTCCCCTGCATCAGATACTCCTCTGCATCAGATACTCCCCTGCATCAGATACTCCCCTGCATCAGATACTCCCTCGCATCAGATACTCCCCTGCATCAGATACTCCCCCTAAGCAGATACTCCCCTGCGTCAGATACTCCCTCGTATCGGATGCTCTCTGCATCAGATACTCCCCTACAACAGATACTCCCCTGCATCAGATACTCCCCTGCATCAGATACTCCCTCGTATCGGATGCTCTCTGCATCAGATACTCCCCCTCAGCAGATACTCCTCTGTATTAGATACCACCTGCATCAGATACTCCCCCTCAGCAGATACTCCTCTGTATTAGATACCACCTGCATCAGATACTCCCCCTCAGCAGATACTCCTCAGTAGATACTCCCTCAGCAAATACTCCTCCTCATCAGATACTCCTCTGTATCAGATACCATCTGCATCAGATACTCCCCCTCAGCAGATACTCCTCATCAGCAGATGTTCCTCTGGATCAGATACTCCCTGCATCAGATACTCGCCTTCAGTAGATACTCCTTTGTGTCTGATACTCCCTGCATCAGATACTCCTCCTCATCAGATACTCCTCTGTATCAGATAGTCCTCCTCATCAGATACTACTCCTCATCAGATTCTCCTCTGTATCAGATACTCCCTGCATAAAATACTCACCTTCAGCAGGTACTCCTTTGTGTCTGATACTCTCTGTATCAGATACTCTCCTTCCGCAGATACTCCTCCTCATCAGGCACTCCTCTGTATCAGATACTTCTCCTCATCAGATACTTCTCTGTATCAGATACTCCCTGCATCAGATACTCCCCCTCAGCAGATACTCCTCATCAGCTACTCCTCTGTAGCAGATACTCCCTACATCAGATACTCCTCCTCAGCAGATACTCCTCTGTATCAGATTCTCCCCTGCATCAGATACTCCCCCTCCCCACACACATCAGATACTCCCCCTCAGAAGATGCTCCTCCTTATCAGATACTCCCCTTTCGTTCTTCCACGTGAGTGAATGCCATGAATTTGTGAACTGTTTTTTTTTTTTTTTTTAATCATCTTTCCAAAATGTATAACTGCTTTGATGTGAGAGCTCAGTTTAACCGCAGGGTAGAACTGCTCTTTGGCAGAGAATCTCCTTAGATCCTTTCCGACAGCTTGGAAGGAACTGAAGGCAGTCTTCCTCCTTGCCATGAGCGACGACTCCTCCACGTTTAGAAGCCTTTCCCCATCTCGGGCGATGCACACGCTCCAGTGCTTCCAAAAATGCGTGCTTTTATAGAGAAGCTTGGAAAGGGCTTTGCTTGCACTTTTGTGTTGACCTCAGAAAGTCGAGAAGCCCTGATATTGTAGACGGCGTGGACCTCATCCATAAAGTTCCCTCCGCCGAAAAATTAGGATGTCTTCAGTCTGCCTTGCAGCGGCGCTAACAAAAGCTCTTAGGATAGTTACCCGCAGAATGAGAATACTTAATCTTGTCACTCGTAGCGGTGTTAGGAGCTGCTGCTTGCGGGCAAAGTCAGGTTCCACGCAAGTCTCTCCCTCTTCAAAGGTGGGCTGTTATTTCCCCACCTGTGTGGGCTGCCAGCACGGATCTCCGGATGTGGGGAAAGGGCTGGGATGGAGACGTCAGCCGTCCATTCTGGGTCTTTCGCTCTTTGAAGCTCATCAGCCCCGCCCGTAGTTTGGCAGGTGGGCATCGGCCGTGTCCCCCTTCTGTCGAGGCCTCCAGCCCTCCCCACACCCACATCCGTTCACGGGTCCTTGCTTCTCTCCTTGTCTAAAAGCTCCCAGAGCTTGAGTCTCAAGATATCAATGAGGACCATTGTCGGGCTCTTTCGGTATTTGTTGTTTTTCTGTGTTTGAGCGTGTGAAACAGGCTGAAGAAAGGATCGAGACCCCTGGTTATTTATCATTTGCATTCATTGTTTTGGGCAACCAACGCCTATTGGCCTCCCTCTGGGGCCCAGGTGCATACAGTGGAGGACACGACATCCTGGATTCTAGAGGGTGTAACAGACGTGTCTCTCATCCATCAAATGATGAGGTCAGTCAACTCTCATGGGCTGAGGTCTGCCTTCTCCAGTACGACTGGGTCCTGTTGTTAACTAGCTCGGAACATTTGGGTTAAAAAGAGGTATCGTTCTTGGAGAACAGCCACATTCCTCCCCAACGAAGCATCAAGGATTGCCTTTGAGGTCAGATTCTGCACACCGACTTGCTTTATAATAAGGAGAAAAAAATGCATCAACCTCTTTGTAACTCTGTGAATAACATTGACGTGTTTGTAAGCCTTGCAATCGTATTATCAGCATAAATGTCTCATGAAAGAAGAGAATAGCGAAAGAATGGGTATTTTTTGTAAACGTATATGAAATTATGACTCATTCATAAATAAATCTGTACATTTAAGAAATACGTCCACTAGGCTTTTTTTTTTTTTTTTACGGAGACTGAATGGACATCTTCGTAGACGGTGTCATTTCCCGTAGACATAAAATAAATAATCTTTTGGAAAAATTGAGTTTAAATCAGTTGGCTTGTTGGTTCATTAAATACCTTCACCAAAAAAATTGCCTTGTTTAATCATTTTGGAGCTTGCATATATATATAAAGAAATTACGGTATGACGGGTTTGGAAGTCAAGATAAACAATTTATTTAAGGGCTAATGAGAGACCATAACACAGTACTGGTTATATTATAAATCTGGGTCTTACTGTGTTTAGCCAACCAGCTGAAGCTTTGGTCAAGTTTGTGCTATCACGAAAATGCCGCGATGAATATCTTTGGAACTATATTCTTGCGGACCTGTGTAAGAGTGTGTGTTGCATAAATGTCTCAAGTTGGCTTTGTGGGGCAAAAGGAGGTGTTTGTGTTTAATTACTTATGGACACTGCTGTTCGCTCCCCACAGAGGTTGTGCAAATTTGCGGTACCCGCACTGATGTCTCGTATCTGTTTCCTCGCAGTCCTGCAAACTTCCTGGTCATTGCCAATCTCTTAGTGGAAATATGGTATCAAATCTTAACTGTTTTACATTGAATTTCTCCTAACCCAAGTGAGATTGAGAATCTGTGTGTGCAAGATCCGTTTGCATCCCATTTCAGGGGGAGCCACTCGAATATGCCCTTTGCCCATTTTTATGTGTGTTCTTGGTCCTTTTCTTGTTGATCTGTAGGAACTCTTTACATATGAAAGATAGCGCCATTTGACTGTGAAGTAGGTAGCAAATAGGCTTTTTCACTTTCTCCTTAGCCTTGTAACTCAGAAGTGATGTTTCCCCCATTTGTATTTATTATTTTTATGTAGAGAAATTAGTTAATGATTTCTGGGCTATATGTCATTCTTAGAAAAGCATTGACCCTATTGACATTATTTTTTTTAAAAACTACATATTTCCTTCTAACTTTTTTATATGTAGGGTTTTGGGTTTTTTTTTTTTTTTTTTTTTTGTACTTTAAAATAGTTGACCCCCTAGGAATGCATTTTTGTATCAGGAATGAGGAAGAGATTCCTCTGTGTACAATTTTTTTCCCCCCATGGAAAAGTCCCATTAGTTCCAAACCATTTATTGAATAACCCTTGTTTTCCCAACTGATTTGAAATGCAACTTACATTATCCACTATTTTCTTGGGCAACCCGGGAAAGGAGGTACTTCTGCATTTTCTTCTCTCCCATTATCACTGTTGACAAACCAGCCAGTGCCCCATGGTGTTCACTAATGTGAGTTGATAATTATGATGAGTTTTCCTATCTGCTGAGACTAAATGCTGTGTTATTCTTACTTTTTAGGATTTTCTTGGTCATTCTTTGCTGTTTAATTTTTCGTTTGTATTTTAGAATCAGCTTGCTTGTTCGAAGGAAAATCCTGTTCACGTTTTAACCAGGATTACATTAAATTTGCAGATTAATTTAGGCGTCTTCATAATATAGAGTCAGTCTGTTTAAGAACAAGCTATATCCTTTCCTTTTTCTGGACTTTTTTTTGCATCCTTCTGTAGCATTTTTGTGTTGATTTGCACATTTCTTGTTTTATATATAAAAACTTGATTTATGTTAATTCTGTGCAATGTGAATTTTCTGAATTCTCTTGTTCATATACACACACACATACGGATACATATATGTGTAATACACACATATATAATCAAATATAGAGTCATGAAAGAATATATATATAAAATCATGTGTCTATAAATGTGTGTATAATCATGGAAGAATCTATTCCTCTTATGAATTTTGTCCGGAAGGGGCATTAAATTCAGTTAACTGCTTTTTCAGGATCTGCGAGGATGGTCATATTGTACCATCTTTAATCTATAAATATGAAGAATTAAATATAATTACTGCACTATGATAAATAAGCTAATCTAGAACCATCCTTCCATTCTTGAATCAGATTTTATTTGGTGTTGGGCTTGTTAATCTGACGATGATTCTGTCAAATTCTGCACGAGAAATTGGTCGGTGTTCTCTTGTTGCATTATCTCAACATGACACTTTCTTCATAGATTTTGGTAGACTTTCTTCTTTATATTTTGGGAAGTTGGTTTAGGTTCAGTGACCTGGACCTGATGTGCGCGCGCGTGTGTGTGTGTAGAGGGGAAAATTGGGTTTTTAATTTTGTTTCTCTATTGGGCAGAGATCAATTTAAAAAAAAGAACAACTTTCTAGATTTCTACTTCTTCGTCGGAGAATCGTCCATTTTTCCTAAGTTTTCAAATGTCGATGCATAGAATTGAGCAAAGTTTCCACTTCTTATCATTCTTCAGTCTCCTCCAAGTCTGCGGAGAACGCCACGTGCTTATTTTGTGTAGTCGTTATTTGTCCGTTTTCGTTTTCTCGACTATTTTTTTAATTCTAAGCTTGGCCATTTCTCCGTTTTTGACCCATTCATCTGCTGTCCTTGGGTTTCACTTGTTCCCCTCCCTCCACCCGGACGCCTCTTGATTCCCTTTATTTTCATTCTTTCTTGTTTAATCTTGCAGACATTCAGGGTTCTGACATTCCCTCTGTGCCCCCAGCGATGGCACGGTCAGCTCCCGTTCTTGCTATTTTTCTAGACGGTCGGCGTTTTCCATTTGTATTTCCTGTCAACTTGAGGGTTGAAGAAGTTTGAAAAATGTCCAGGGGACATTTTTCTGCTCTTTGCTCCCCCGGGTTGGCTTATCCATCTCCAGTTCTGCTGTCATGTGGGAGCAGAATGGCGGCCGTCTCATTTCTGCTTCTGTTCGCTTTACCGAAGCTTGCTTTCTGGTCCACTGGTGAATTTTGTGCAAGTTCCGTGTGCATCGAAAAAGATGCATATTCTCCATCTTTAAGGTCGCGAGGGCACGGAAGTCAAATGCACCTTATCGGTTTTGTGTCTTCAGCCCTGTGTGTCCCCGTGCTCCCCCCACGACCCGTTTAGGGTAAGGGAGGTGAGCTAGAGCGTGGCTCCCGTCCCCTCGCTGTGCATTCACACTCGCCGGGCCACACTGCCCTCCGCTACCAGCCATCCGCGTGTCGCACGCCGTGCGGCCGCTCTCCACCTCTGTAGGAAACAGAGATGAGAAGACCACGTGCGTCTCGGGACTCGTGGTGATTGCACAGCGTGGACGCGGGCATCCTGCAGCCCACGGCCTGCAAATGGGTTTTTTACCTCTAAATGATTTTAAAACATTTGAAAGAACAGTGATGTTTTACGATGCATGAGAATTGTGTGCGACTCGGCGTCCCTTGAGAACGTTGCATGGCGCACAGAGGTGCCCGCTGGGTGACCGCAGTCTGTGGCCGAGTCCCGTGGTTGCAGCAGAGCCCGCACGGCCTGCGGAGGTGGCTGTGTTGACCGTCGGCCCTTTACAGAAGGAGGCTGGCAACATTTGCCTGAACGCATGTAAGATGCTTAGAAGAGTCTTGCACAGTTGGATGTGCGACCACCGTCGTGTTGGGCGTCATGGCAGGTTAGCAACGATTTTGCACTTTCATTTCATCTGCGAGGATTTGGGACGGCTGCTGCCCCAGTGTATGAGGCGCTATGAGGACACCGGGTCCTATTGCATTATGTTCCATCCTTCTCCAGTGCAATCTTGTCAGTTTAACTACGTCTACACTGGCTGATGCTTGTCCACACTAGTCCGGCTCAGCCTGGGCCTCAGCAGGCCCCACGGGGCCCCTTTCATGTCACGACAGGTCCCTTTCCATCTTTGCACCCCACCTTCTCTGACACACCCAGTTCTGGGTGTAATAAATTAATTCCAGAGCCCCCTCCACCACTCGCTCCCCGTCCTCTCCGCTCCTGGGGAGCCCCTCGGTGCTTCCCGCCGGCGTCTCCCCTGCAGGACCACCAGTGGGCTTGTAGGAAGGCGTTTGGAGGTCCTCCCTGCCCCCCTGGGCGTCCCTTGCTGCCCACGCTTGTCCTCAGGCCTGCAGCCCCGTGCGTGGCCGTGACAGAGCCCCACAGATGGGGCAGTTTACACAACAGGAATTATCCTCTTGCCGTTCCGGAGATCAGAAGCTTGACGTCAAGGTGTGGGCAGCGTTGGTTCCTTCTGGAAGCTCCGAGGGGGAGTCCGTCCCTTGCCTGTCTCCTGGCTTCTGGGGCTCGCCTGAAATCCTGGGGCCTGTAGTTGCATCATTCCCATCTCTGCCTCCATCTGCACGCGGCCTTGTCCACGTGTGTGCATGTCTGTGTCCCAATCTCTTAGGACAAGGACATCGGTCCTATTGCGTCACGGCCCGCCGTCCTCCAGTGCAACCTCGTCTTAAGTAATTATGTTGACACCGACCCCATTTCCAACCAGGGTTACATTCTGAGCTGTTGCAAGTGAGGACTCCGACATATGATTTTGGGCGGTGGGGACACCATTCACAGAACATTCTCCATCCGTCTCCCCCGACCCCCAACCCTGGGAAACCTCCAATCCACTTTGTATCTCTATGGATTTTGCCTGTGTGGACATTTCATGTGCACGGGATCAGACGCTGTGTGGACTTTTGCGTGTGGCTTCTTTCACTCAGCATAAGATTTTCAGGGTTCATCCAGGTCATAGAAGGTGTGGGGGCTCCATGCGTTTTTATGGTTGGGGAAATTTGAAAGAATGGTCTTTCCGGGTGCACCTTCTGCTCTCCTCGACTGTCCCACTTACGGTTTAGGATTATACGTGCATGTTTTCTCAAAGCATTTGCACACCTACACACATGCACACGCCTGTGTGCACCAAAACTTGACCATCTAAGTGACTCAGCTTTATAAAGACGTTACATGGAAAACGAGACCCAAATACCAGACAATCAAGAAAAATATACGAGCATTTCTAGGTGCCAAAAAAAAATTGCATGAGACATCTAGTTTCATTTCTCTTTTTTTATTCTGTTTGCCATAAATCCAGCTTCTCTGGAGATTTAGGAACTGCTCTCCCACCCAGGATTTATTTGTTCTTTCTCGGGCACATATTCCACTTATCAGAGGAGATCGAAGCGCCTTTTGCAAATTTTCACTTTTTATTCTCCCCCCCCCCCTTGCTTGGACGAGGGTAGCTGGCACTGGGTGATCAATGAGTGTATTTGGATACACGAGACAGAGGCACAGAGCTTTAGGGAAAAAAAATAAATAAATTCTGCAGAAATAAGAAAACATCACTGGACTCAGACACCAGGCCGGCTGTATCTCTCGTCTCCAGAGATTTCCAATGGAAGACGTAAAGAACTGGGTAGTTACACACAATGCCTCCGACTTGAATAATGCACGTTCATCCATTGTTGCCCTTTTCGTGGGATGACCTCGCACTGAGACTAAAAGAAAACGTTTTCCATAAGCGACAGGGCTCAGGACTTCCACCCCGATTGCCCTGCGCGTCTTGGCGCGGGCAAAGCAATTAATTATTTCAGAGGACAGCCCGGCAGCTCGTCCCGGCAACTGAGTGCTTCTCGGGCGGGCATGAAGCTGGGCGATTACCGTCTTCATCTTTTACGATAACCTTGCTGTTCCCTTCAATCCTTCATCACTCTCCCTTCGCGTGGCCGCTGCAAAGCCGGGCTCGGTCCCCCTGGAATTGCCCTTAGAGAGAATGTCTGCCTTTTTTTCTGCAGGAGGCATGTCGAGGAGAAGGGACAGCCACTTTGGACAAAGGCCCCGTGCCCTCGTCCCCCAAAAAGGCATTCGGCTCATCTCCAGCCCTTTCTAGGAGGATGAAATTTTGTCCGGATCCAAATCCTGTTTGGAGGGAAATAAAAAAATTCAAAGAAGGTCTGTCTGTGATTCTGTAGCATTGTGCTGATAACACGAGGTAGCGCTGATATCCTGGCAATGATGATGTTCCAATGACAGCTAGCGTTGTGGGGGCTGCAGCGGGCTTGTTTCTGTTCTGGAAGAAAAAAGACTTTTCATGATTCGGTGCCTTTTTTTCTTAAAGAACAAAGGCCGTGTTGAGTGTCCTGTTTCTGCTGTTAACAAATGAGTACACACTGGGGGGCTCAGAACAACAGAAATATATTTTCTCCCCGTCCTGGAGACTGGAAATCTGAGATGAAGGTGTGGGCAGGGCTGGTTCCTCCTGGTTTCACGGCGTGTGGATGCCGTGTTCTCCCCGTGTCCTCACGTGGTGGAGACAGAGAGTTGTGGTGTCTCTCCCAGGCCGTTTCCTTCTTCGTACTCAGCCTATAAAATGGGTGCAAGGCCACAACCCTCTCCAGAAGCCTTTGTGATATACTCTGAGCCCAGAACCCTCCAGGTACCCCAAGGCCTCCGTGTGCAACCCCCAAATCGTTTAATGTTACAGTACAAATGTCTGGGGGCTGGCCCGGTGGCCTAGTGGTCAAGTCCGTGCACTCTGCTTAGGCGACCCAAGGTTCGCAGGTTCAGATTCTGGGTGTGGACCTACTCACTGCTCATCAAGCCGTGCTGTGGAGGCATCCCACATACAAAACAGAGGGAGATTGGCATAGATGTTAGCTCAGCAACAATCTTCCTCAGCAAAAAAAAAAAAAAAAAAAAAAAAATCACACTACAATTGTCTGGTTTAGCCATTTGTGTCTCTTCTCTGTAAACAATCTTTGGTCCTTCGTCACCACACATCTGCACCTCACATGCGCCTGGCTCAGAACAGCTGCATCGAATGTTTGTTGAACGAATGCACGACCTCATCTGATGTCCCCCCACTCGGAAAGCAGAAACCCTGGAATTTATAAATCCGGTGCTTCTGACCGCCTCTAACGCAGCTCAGGTGAAAGACGCCGAGGACCAGGTTCATCTGCTTCCCTCGCACCCGTATCCCCCTCAGACTATTTGTTCTGCCACCTGATCTTTGAAGTGACCCGATGCCAGTTCTCGCCGACCTGTCCCCACTTTGCAGGAGGGTTCCTGGGAAGGACGAGGGGCGGGGAGTCCTGTTCCCGGGGCGCAGGGTTGGTGCCTTTGATGCTGCACGCCCCACGCCCACAGGGAGCAGAGCTGCCAAGCAGGTGCGCCCGCTTCCCACAGCCCAGGATGCCCGCTGGCGCTGAGCGACGGCCTGTTTCTCCATCCTCCCAGGGGGGTGTTGGCCGGCGCAGCTCAGGGAGGCCGGCCCCGGTGCGTTCTTGAGCGTGCACACACTTGTCCCGCGGGCTCCCGTCTGCGGGGTTTGCAGGCTGAGCGGCAGGCCTATTGGGATTTGGCAAAAGGATTCTAATTTCCGCTGGAAGGCTCGGCCTCTCTTCCTTCCAAGCTGGGAGAGCAGAAGTCAACAAACAACACGTCGAGGGTGGGGCGGCTGCATCTCGCAACCCGCCAGGGCTGGGGCGTATCCGCTGAGCTTCCTGAGTCCCGAAGGCCGCGATGGAGAGCCGGTGGGGCCTGTGGTGTGTCACGTTCCTGTGTTTTCTGACCCACGCTGGAGGTGAGGGACGGTCGTCTCTGCGGGAGGGCCGCGCGGGTGTGTGGGTTTCCGTCGGGTGGCTTTTGGAAAAAAAAAAACTCCTTCCAAAGGAGCCTCGGCTAAGTAAATGGCTATGGCTTGCCACCCTAAATTAGGGAGGACATGGAGAAGGGATCGGGAGCCCAGTCCGGGTCTGGGAATCGAAACAGGAAAGGTCGGATGCCGGTTCACAGCGTTTCGAAGTCAAACCTCTGGTTTTGATGTGTGTGTGGGTATCACACAGTTAAAAAAAGAAAAAAAAAAAAAAAAAAAAAGATCTGTGCTGCTCCAGGACGGGGCATGCCGGGGTTTTTTAACTTCCCTGTTTTCGGCTTCAAAATATGACTTCTGAATGTTTTCGTACGGCCAAAAGGGGAATTGAAACCCAGCTGGGTTTTTCAAGGGACCGCTAAGCCCGGATTGAGTTTGCTTGATGGGCAAAGGCTCGGTCAGGATTTTTTAAGCTTTTTTTTTCATAAACGGCATCCTGTCGTTGTCAAGAGTCAGCATCTCGTGAGTGGGTTACACCCAAAACTTCCACCCCGGCTTGCAGGGTGTGTCTCCCAAACACCCGGATTTTGGATTTACGGGGAGGGTGGGGCACCCGGCTTAGAAAGCATGAGGAACCCTCAAGTGTAGGGTTGAAACAGCAGTCGGACAGCAACCGTGGTCCTTTGAATCCTCTGAGTCCAGAGCACGGCATACCGGGGTGGAACAGAAGAGCGGGAACGGTCAGGAACTCAATTAAAATCCTTTCTTCCAATGTCGGGTGGTGGCATTTTCCTGTTTGTCGTGTGGAAGGCGTGTTGGGAGGGGAGAGGTTGGTGGTTTCGGCGCAGATGGGAGGTTGGGAGAGATCCCGGTGTGCGGAGCGTCATTCATTAATCGGCGTCATCTGTACGTCTTACTCGGCGTGTGGACCCTGCTGACACGCGTGAATTCTGTCCAGCTGCAAACCCAGCCCCTTTGGAGAGTTCCTTCTGGTCTCCTTGGGGTTCCGGTCAGGACTGCGGGTTTGCCGTATTCCCTCGGCCGCCGTAATGCACAGTCGATCCCATCCTTTGGGGATAATTGGGTGTCAGATCCCCTCGGCTAGCCACGCAGGGCATCGTAATTCTGTGGGAAACACCGCTCCCCCCCCCCTCGGGCCACGCTTGATGCCATTTCTAGAAAGGTAAACTGAGGCACCGAGCATTTGCCCGCTGCTGAAACGCACAGGCGGGATGCGGAGGGCTTGGTTGGTTGCAGGAGCGACAGGAAAAGTACGGGAGGTCTGGATCGGGGTTCCTCTCTGTGAATAAGTCGTGCGGCCCCGAGTCCTGGGCAATTATTGAAATTCGTGGACAGCCCCCGCCCCGGACCTCAATCGTCCCCGGACGTAGGATTGAGCGGCTTCATGAGATTCCCGAAAACCTTCTGCAAGGGCTCTTGAGATGCTTGTTACAGACGCCCCAGGAAAGCGGAGCGTGGTCGTGCTCAACCTCCTGTAAAGCATTCTGATCGTCGTTAAATTACTCGTTTCAAAGAAAATCACGGCCATGCGGCCCTATTCCTAAGAGATAGGGCTTTGCGATTCGGCGGCTGCAAATTTCCACCGCACGGAAATTAATATTTGCTGCAAAATCCAGAGGGTCTTGAGGGAGACCACGAGACGGCCTCGGGTCTTCTAGAAGCTGGGAGAACCAGAAATGCACCAACAGAAGGACCCAAAACGGGAAGATACAGCTGTGTACTGGGGGGGCTTTGAGGACAAGAGGAAGAAGGAAAAAAAAAAAAAAAGAACCAGAAATGGAAATTGCAAAGGGTCGTTTGTAATGTTTGGTTTGTTGCGAAAAAAGAAAATACTGTATACATGCTTATAAATATATATTTAATTTATATATATTTTTATATATTATATATATTTATATATAATATATATTTATATACTACTGTATATACATAGTATATTGTATATGTATCGTATATATACACAATATATTGTATATATATTATATTGTATATATTGTATGTATTGCATATTGTATGTATTTATATTGTGTATATAGATTGTATATATTTTACATTGTATATACAGTGTATATTGTATATATATTATATATAACTATATAACTTTATATGTAACTATATATTATATGTATATTATATATAATATAACAATATATATTATACATATATCCTTATGTTTTCTTTCTTCCTATATGTGTATATATATGTGTGTGTATATATATATATGTACACATGGCATCCTGTATATATATTATTATATATATATGTGTATATATATATGTGTATATATATGTGTGTGTATATATATATATGAACACATGGCATCCTGTATATATATTATTATATATATATGTGTATATATATGTGTGTGTATATATATATATGAACACATGGCATCCTGTATATATATTATTTTATATATATGTGTATATATATGTGTGTGTATATATATGTACACATGGCATCCTGTATATATATTATTATATATATATTATATATATACAATTATATATATATATTATTTTCTTGTACATATATTATCGTTTTTCCTGTGCATATCTTACACACTGGCTCCACCTTTCTCTTCCACACCCGCTGTGCATTCCTCCCTTATCAGACATGACTAAAACCCCGTGCACGTTTCAATAGAGCCGCTTTTCTACCTACAGTCCTAAAAAAAAATAATAAAAACTGGCAGCCGGGTTCTCGACGGTTTTTAACAGCCACAGGCCGTGTCTCTGAGCACCTGCTGCCCAGGGAAGGTCGTTGAGGCTGGGTGCTAGGTCTCGGGCAGGACTTGCTGCCCTCACTGTGGGGGCCGTTCTGGTCTTGCTTCTGGGAATGGCGACCCCGGCCTCGCTGGCCTCATCCTCCATGCCTGGGTGCAGACTCTCTTAACCCTCCCTCCTTCCTCGCGGCCCCCAAACGACCTCTGACCTGACCAGTCTATGGGTGTGGCAGTCGTGTCCCAAAGGGGTCATTTGACCCGCCCACTGTGTCGCGGCCCCCAAACGACCTCTGACCTGACCAGTCTATGGGTGTGGCAGTCGAGTCCCAAAGGGGTCATTTGACCCGCCCACTGTGGCCTTGCCCATCGGCGGGGAATGAACCCGCCCAGCTATTTAGGGCAGCAGTTCTCAGTCCTTTGCTGTGTGGACGAGTCAGCTGGAATGGAGCCGGTTTAAAGGCGCCCGCCCCAGTCCCCGCCCCTCCAGATCCTCATTCGGTAGATGGGCCTGGCCCTGGGGAACCGGGTGACGCCCGCGCTGCAGTCAAGGCTCCCTTTGAGAGGTGATGTCTGAGAGCCCGGCCATCGGGGTTTCTCCTTGGGTTGAGCCTCATGGATCCCCGTCCCAAGGGGGAGGCTGATCTTTGCTCCCCGATTCGGAGACCCATCACCCAACACGTGCAGGCGGGAAGTGACAGCGCCAGGTGGAGAGCCGTTCTCAGCTTGGGGGGGACTTTGTCCCCAGGGGATGCTTGGCGGTATCGGGAGTCATTTTCGGTTGTCACAACTGGGCGTGGGGCGGACTGCTGTCGTCAAACGGGTGGAGGCCGACATGCCGCTCCATGTTCCGTGGTGCGCGGGACAATCCCACCCGTCAGAGAGTTATCCAACCCCACACGTCGGTACTGCTGAGTTGAGAAATCCTGCCTTAGCACGGGAGACTGTCTCTAGCCAGCTATCATCTGTCTATCGATATCATCTATCTATTTATCATTTATCTATCTAGATATCTATCGACCTATTTATCATCTATCCATCTCATGTTGCTATTTATCATGTATCTATATCATCTATCTATCATGTATCTATCTATATCATCTATCGATCTATTTATCATCTGTCCATCTCATCTATCATCTATCTCATCTATTTATCATCATCTATCGATCTATTTATCATCTATCTCATCTATCATCTATCTATATCATCTATCTATTTATCATTTATCTATCTATATCATCTATCTCATGTATATCATCTATTTATCATCTGTCTATATCATGTATCTATCGTTTGTCTGTATCATGTATCTATTGATTTATCATCTGTCTATATCATCTATCATCTATCTATATCATTTATCTATCAATCTATCATCTGTCTATCAATCCTGTATCATCTCTCTACCTCTGTATCTCTCTCTCCATCTATCTACCTATCATCCATCTATCCATCACCCATCTATCTATCTATCTGTCATCTATCAATCATTTATCTATCCCTCTATTGTCTATCTATATATCTATCTGTCATCTATTATCTATCTATCATCTCTATCATCTATATATTATCTACTATCATCTCTCATCTATATGTGTATCTATCTTATCTCTCTGCATCTATCATCTATCTGTCGTCTATCTATTATCTACTACCTATCATCCATCTATGTGTGTATGTATGTATCTATCTTATCTCCCTATATCTATCATCTATCCATGTACCTGTCTGTCTATCTATCAATCATCTGTCTATTGATCATCTATCTTTCTATTTATCATGTCTTATCTACATATGTATGTATGTATCTATCATCTCTCTCTCTCTCATCTATATATGTATTTATGTGTGTGTCTCTCTATCCATATCCAGCTAGCTAGCCATCTGTGCTGTGGAAGCCGCCCCGTCTTAGTACTTAGTACACCCCGTGTAGCACTTTGTCACGTCAGCCCCAGGAAACCAACACGACGTTCGTGTCCCGCAGAGTGAGGCCCACGGACCTGCAGCCTCAGTCTCCCCTGGGAGCTGCTGAGAAACGCCGCCTCTCAGCCCCACCCACGTGGGTGTGCGCCCCCCACGTCCCCGGGGACCCGTGAGCCTGTGTCCCTTTGGGAAAGCTGATTTAGGCCACGCCGCCCAACGCTGCCTCCCCACACAGTCTGCAGCATTTTCCTCCCGTCTCCGTTTCGCCACGGACGTCTTGGCTTTTCTGGGGAACGATCGTGGCTTCGTCCTTTGTGACCAA